TCGTGGTCGTCGTCGATGCAATAGCTAAGTGATATACTGACCCAAATCTCAGTGGTACTGGTAGATGTGCGGGGTGGTTGAATCCTTGAACGAACAAAACAATTACAGGGTAGTTTCACGACATTTTAGCGGTGGAATATACATACATGGAAGCCGCAGCTTGAATGGACAATAAATAGATGTTTGATTACAATGGTATGATATAAAATACTTCGATCCAGAAGCCACTGATCGCATGAAATGATCTCAGAGGCGAGAACCGATCCATGAATTATATTCCCATTGACTAAGTCAATGCTGATTCGCAGACTTGACTTGTATGTATAGCTGTTTTTGTGTTCGGGTCTCGCCACCTCCATACAAACCAATATTAATGCTCTTACTGACAAGAATCAACCAATTTGTGTGAGTAGTCTTGCACCAGAGCGCAGTATAACATGCCCGTTGTTTCATCCCAGCATCAAAAGCTCTCCGCATGCGGAAATAAGATATTCTCAAAGTTAGCCACTGATCCGCACTGTGACCCAATCTGAGACAGACACAATGGCTGATCAGCGGACTAGAAATGAATCACAACTTGCATCAACCTATGAAACTAGGACTACGTTCGTTCGGGTGCTGCGCAGGATTTGCAATGTCAGTGGAGCAGTAACAGGATTTGTTAGGAAAATTCGGTGGACAGTATTTATGCAGAGTTACAACACCAGGATCGATCAGTGATTCCAAAATTATTAGCAATGCAGACAGAGACTGTATGTATGTGTTACCGTATAATTGTAAAACGCAGATCATAACATTTTTGCATTCTACTGACACGCCTGTCCCGAGGAAATGAATGATTTAATAAAAGCTAACTTGGTCTTGTTGTTTTTATATTCAAGCCCTCAGGGTGTATTCTGTCAGGAAACGCGTAAACGTTGCCCTGGAAATAGTAATCTTCCCGTAAAAAGACCCAAGCGGAAGTGAGGATAATCCCGGATCACTAGCATTGTCGGTTTTATCATACATATGCATTTTAAACGTTTCACTAGTCCCACAGAACACATTGAGGACAGCAACAGCATGCCGGACAAGCTCGTTTACAGTTATTCAAAGAGAAAGCCCCAATCACTTTTTCTTCTGGTAGCGGTGCTTTAGGGGAGTTGTTCAAAGATCCCAATTTCAAACCAGCCAAGTAGATACTTACGAACCATACTTACACCTTACTGGTTTTGGATATAGTCATCGGCTCGATTGGCTATCGAGGTTTATTTCGTACTTTGTACATTTGGCCCCGTCCAAAGTGTATATGATCCGATGAAGTGGAAACCAGTCCCTAATGGATTGTGGTTTTTACACACCACCCCACTGCCTTGCTGGTCAGGTTTTGCCTACCCGGAGGTTCCCGATGTGAATTTCTCAACGGCTGGTTTCTTTGTTTTAATGATCACTTATCCTTGAGTTGTTTGGCACAAAGTCTGGAATAAGATGCGTATGATATATAATATAATAATATATTTATAATGATATAATATGTATGTATTTTTGCGTGTTAATGCATGTGTTTATTACCCTTATTTTTTGTGTTCCACACTATTTCAATTTATCATAACATTTACTTTTGTGGTTGTGTTTGAACAGGATGCGTAGGGGATGCGATCGTCATAGTGTGGATTCTTGATCAAACACTTAGCACTGGCACCCATTCATTATTGCCTGTGCTACGATTTTGTTTTCGTTGAATGTAACTCGTTTCTGCTCATTCCCACGATCGGTGGCGTTTTGATCGACCAAACGCAGTAAATAGAACTAATACCTTAAGATGTCTTCACCATTCTCTCGTGTGGCGTTAGATATACCAATCTGATAGTCCGCGATTAATTACACACATACACACATACACTCACTGGATTGCGCAGGTCTAGCGTTCAGTAGCGAGTAGCTTTTCTCAACGGAAGCTGTGTTCTATTTGCCATAATTTGTTTGTTGATTGCGCGCGCGCTGGTCTTTGGTCAAGAAATCGATATGCTTGTTACTGCAGTTGCCCAGATTCACAGTTAGTAGCTCTGTTTATGTGCTCTGTATAACATGCGATCGGCCCAGCTATTTCCTCGACACATCAGATCTGTTTTTTAGTCCGTTGTTTCCAATGGCATATTATTTGTTATCTGCATTTGCGTATGCGCATATGCTGAGCTCTCTCACTCCATATTCTGTTGATTTCTCACTATCTTCTACGCGCGTGCGTGCGTGTGTGCGACAGTGAGGAGTCGTCCTTTGAACTGCGCACATAATGAGCAAATATGTTAACCTGAAAAACCCGTCATGGATTATTGAGCTGAAAACTACAATTTTGCACAATTGGACATAGTTGTCCTCTGGATCCGTGATACTGAATCGAGCATCACTTGTAACATGGAGTTATCTTTTTTTACGTTCTATATAATCCAGTTTGTCATGTACTACTCGATCGGGAAGTTGTGCTATCAAACCTATAAGCGTAGTTTTCCGTGGGTCGTATCTGGTTTGTGTGCATTCAGTTTTCTTGTTTCCTGTGTCTATTTTCTTTTCTTTATTACACAAGAAGTGATTTACAGCAAAAGCGGCAAACCCTGTTCTCAATGACATACTGTAAAGAAGAAGGTATGCGGGGGAACATTCTAACGATAATCAATTTGTTAATCCTGCTTTTGAAAAGAGTAAGATTATAAGAACTTTGTAACATGGAGATGGAAAGGGTGTTGCTTAATTTTGCAATCCTAGGGAGATAAAGAAGATTGAAAAATAGAAGTTCGATATGGGGGACAGAAACCTGATGAGGGCCTACCTGCCNCGAGATGGACGAGAGAAGGTTAGTGGAATGGGAGCCGCTAAAGCGAGTTCGGAAGAGCGGAAACCACAATAATAACGATAAAAAAGAGAACGAAGTAACTGCGCGGCGATGGCAAAGCACTTGCAGGTTAGAAGTTGAAGACGGTTTGTCGATCAATCGGATGGCCTTACCTTGAACACGGTCGAGGAGAGAAAGAGCGGAATACGGAGCTCCATCCCATACGTGACTGCAGTTTTCGAGTCGTGCCTAAAATTTAATTATGTCCAATTTTAAACATTTTAGACAAATCTGTATGGATCGGTTTCATCAATCCGCACTTTTCGACTGAGGTCAGGTTTATCGATCAATCCATTATACACGCGCGCACACGTTAACCCTCATGCATTTTCGCCGTCATCAATCACACTACTGGGCATGCCCAATGAAACCATCGTATACGGAAACCACATCGTGAACACGTGAATTTGCACTATGTCTGCCTTTGTCAAAATGGGTGAGATTTTAGTATCAAATCCTTTTCCTTTCGCGGATGGCTGCCGTAAAATAATCAATTTGCTATTACCATGCCTACTTCTTAGCGCTGGATCGCCGAGCAACTATTAAGTAGTATCCTTTTTACTGATCTTATTCGTTGAATTCGAGCATTGAACGGAAGACGTTGATTGGCGGCGAAAACCATAGTTGTAGTTCCAAGAACTGTTAATTTGAAAGCTATATGAGCTAATTTTTTTCGTCATCGTCATATGTACTCGTTAAAAGCCTTTAATTACTAACGTGAGCTGCATGTTTAGTTATAGCTGCTAATGCCTCCAAAATATCGAGATTGTTTTATACATTATGCCTCATTTGAAACAGTGGTTTATGCAGACAATGATGGCTAGGAGGTTGTGTGTGTTGTTCGAACCCCATCAGCACTGCCCGTTATTCTCATTTTCTGTTTTCTCCAGATAGTTGTTGCTAATAATTAACTGTATTAGTGTATATCCAATAAATAGAAAGAAAGTCAAGTTACGTTTATAAGAAGGTAGATGTGATTTCGCTGATCCTGTCTTGGAGTAACTTTCATGAATGAACTACAAACTGGTTGTGCAGCAGATTTTGATCGGTCTTTATTTGAGTGCTAAATAATGAAAGAATCGAGTTTTTCTGCCCAAGGTTATTAAATTTTTTATAATGCACAGTGGGTTTTCACTTCCCTAGCGTCCAAGTGAAAGCATTATATTTGATGAACGAGCTGAAAATTGTAGCGTAAAATTATGTTCACGACTATGCAAACTAGCCAACAACCAACTTTTGGGCTCTTCCAACCAGATGAAGTCAGATAGTTGTATGTGGTCTTTGTCGCTTTTGTGAGTAGTTCAAGATTGTTCATAAATACGCATCTGGGGCAATATGTAGTCAATCTACGAAACTCCCGATGTTCAAGTTACCTGATGAGACAGTGTTTTGGTAAGAGTTATTGATATCAAAAAATCGTCTTAGCAGAAAATTTGAGTATAGGTTGAAAAGCTCTTTGATTCGATTCATTTATATTTTCAGTGCATCGTCAGTGCACGATTTATTAGAACACATTTTCAAACCTGCTTAATAATTTCGTTTCGTCGTATCCTAATTTTTCGGAGCACGGTCTTCCAGCTTGTATCAGAGTCGAATCGGAACCGCGATATTGACATGAGCATAAATTTAATTCATTTCTTTTTCATTTTAGGTGTTGTTTGAGTCATTCCGAATAGTCCACTTCATTAGCCATTCTTCCCAGTTTCATCTTATCTTCACTTAAGAATATGCCATCGAGTTTCTCTTACCTCCCATTTTATGAGAGATTTATTGATTCCGATAATTTGGACATTCAGGAGCTGTTCATGTGATACAAAATTATGTCCGAGAAACTTCATTGGCATTGCTGATCACTGTCGGATGAACACAGGACTTGGTTTCATCTGGGTTTTTTTCATGCCTGCCTTGTTCACTGTGATAGTGGTCGTTCAAATGGTTCATTCGATGTAGGATACTCCTAATTCTTGTCCATTCCGATTGGTTTAGATATACATTCTGCACACATCCAATTTCCGTTGAACAATCTTCCCCGTAAGTGGTTTGAAAACTGTACCTTATTTCGGTCGTATTATTGTTAACTGATGACCTTATTGCACTTTATAATCTTCCTATTTCAATAAATCTGTTTCAGGCCCCCGAGTGCGAAATATTGGCAGCGCTTTTGTGCTGGGCGGAATTACGTTTGGAACTAGAACAAGGTCACTTGGGTGACCGCAGGAGATCAACCGGTACGAATATATGAGAGGTTTCATTTCACGAAAATTCGTAAATTTTTTAGATTTGTATTTGAAATCGTTCTGATTAATTTTCAAGCACTTGGTTCGATTTAGATGCGGTTTCGTTTTACTTTTGAAATTCTTCTCGTGAACACTTTCTCCCCCCCCCCCCCGTGCGTATTCCGTGGTTTACATGGCCTGTTCTTTCGTTCCAAAAGGTGCGCGTTTAAAATTTAAAAGCACAAATAAGTAACCTCAACGATATCGTGTTTCGTGCCAGGCAATAATTGCAGAACGAAACGATTAATTCGCGTGGTCCTGGTTGATTTGATTCCTGTGTGATTTGTCACGAAATCGCGTCGAATTTGCATGCATTTTGCTCCATCTATCCAAATTAATTGTTCGTTTTATCTTCTGTTGTCTTCGCCGGAATCGATGGCCATTAAAACAGTTAAATTTCCAGGACATACTTTGTACACACCTGAATATGGTCTCTAGCTTTTCCGTCACTGGTATGTGCTTTTCCTTCGTTGGTGTTTAGATGTATTTATGAACGGAATAAATTGGCCAAACTAATCGGTGCAGTGTGTTTGCTGAGTTAATAAAGCACCGCTCAACGGTGACATATTGGTTTACCTACAGAGGTCGAATGGAACATTTTGAAGTCAACTCAACCCCACTAATTCACCCTATTTCGGGTTAACCTTTTAACTTTTGTTCTCGTTTCCACTTCGCGAATTGTCTCGTAGTTTTACGCAACCTATGAAACGAACAGATGTCTAAGTTAGGACTAAATAAGAATTCATTACAATATCTGTTCTAGATTATGACAAATCGCACACACGAAGGCAGGCAGTTTGGTTGAGTGGTCACTTTCTTCGGAGGCCTCCGCGGTTCACCGTACGGCTGTTATTCTCTAGGTTCATTTAATAGTATTCCGTCCACTTGCAAACTATGGACAGATTTCCTTTTGTAACAAATATCAGATTGGTGGTGGCGCAGTGGTTTACTCGGTGTCATCGGCGTGCTTCGAACCTTGTGGTTCGAGGTTCGAGCCCCGACACTGCCACCCAACTTTGGTGGTAGGCAGCTTTGCTGCTAACGGGACCTTATGTGGTTCACCACTTCAACCCCCGGGGCTTAGGTTACCGGTTTCCATCACCGGACAGCAGGTCTTCGTGACTGTTTTTTTTCACTCCGTCTGTTGTTCATCACACAGGTGTGTGTAATAAGAAACTTCCGTTAAGTAAGGCAATGACAATTTCAAGCACCTCATTCACTCGTTAGATTGACGGTTGTTGCGGTCGTGTTGCACATCAACCGAAGCAAACGGTCGTCAATCCCATTTGCGCTGAACGGCAGTTGTCCAGACTGAAAATAATCTCTCTTGTCTAATGAACTTGTCCGATCGGTCACATTTGTCTAAACACAATACTGTTATTACTTTATACCTGCATCCATCTATTCCGCTTATGCTGGTGTGTGGTTCTACGTTCGACCTGTATTCCGGTCGATGACTAACTGCTGGTGGGGTATCCTATGGTACTTAACTGACTGAAAAAGAGTTTCCCATGTCATTTAAACATTCAAATATAATCTTTTTTGTTGTTGCATGGTCTATTTGTGATTTATGTCGTCAGCATCGTGTTCATTTCATAACTTCACCGGATTCTTTTGTTTCCATCCATGGAATGTCATAGTTGTGTGCACTGCCTTACATCACCAGCCGGACGCCTAAACTAATCCGTACATCTGTTCTTGAATCAAACACCCTTCCGCTTTGTTCACCTCGGCATAGCAAGTTCGAGGCGTTGGTCTCAGTATTTGCATTAGCATTTTATCATTCAAGGATTCCGTATAAATACATTCATCTCTTTTGAATAGTTCACTTCAACTCTTCCCCCTTATTCTTGTTCCGAACAAGGTGACCAAAACTTTGTTCTACTTGTTACCGTTCAGCATTCACAGACAGATTGCTCTGTGTTCCTTTCTCCTCTTCCTCCTCTTTTTCCCTCCCACTTCACCCAACCCCAGTCTTGTCCTACACTGCTCGTATCTATCACAAGCACTGTTAGTTGCACTTCTACACACCATGTCAAGTTCCGCTTGTGTAAAGTAGCAGGTCGGCACACACCCTCGCACCAGTGGGGATGATCAATCAATCGGTGTACTGGCACACGTGCACGCAAACACCCGTGGGTGATAAACCCGAACTGAACAAGCAACCGGATATATCCGAAAAATCCACCAAATTTACTAATTGCCTGTGTACTTCATGAACTGATACTGTAGGTGTCACACCTGTCGTAGGATATGTTCGTGATTACGGGTGTTGTCTTTACTCAATATCAACCTTTTTCCGTGGTTTAGAAAAACAAATTTCGTAACTTTTTCGACCTTATTGCTGATTCTTATTTCATAGCCGCTTTCCGCGAGACTGTGCTGGTTTGGCGAGCCCTTTTTCAGCTCAGTTGACTTGATCAAACGAATTAAGCCAATCTTCGCCTTTTGATAATAAGCCTATCCATAGGCTCGGTAATCGTTGCTGCTACAGATGGGTGGTTAAAGCTTAATTTCAGCCCGAAAAGTCTTAAATAATATTCAATTAAAATGATAGTTTGAACGGTATTATAAATCACTAGAAATTTTTAGATGGCGGTCTATTACTAAATTTCAACTGCACAGTAATATCAAAATCAAACGTTTATTTTGATACTCACTTGCACACTCATTTCTCTTTAGTCCCATAGGGTATTTTCACAATCGAATCGTTTCATGATCAAAAATGAGAAGTGTCTGATGGATTTCGTGAAATAGAACCGTACATGATGTAACCTGAATATACAATATTACAGGGTTTCACCAATGTTGAAACGTCAGCTGTCAGCGAATTATCAAATCTTCATTTTCCCATATTCACCGAGCTTGGCATTTGGTTTGCAAACGTTTCATCATTATCCGAGGTGAATTCATCTTCGCTTCACTTCATAAGCACTGATGATGTCAACTTGGCCGCGATGAAACGTTTGCCAACAAATTGCCAAGTTCGGGGAACCGGCGAAATGGAATTCATTTCACCCGAGCTACAATATGAGAAAATGAATTGGCGAATAAGCTCGTTTCCAGTGTGACTTAATCATGCCATTACGCACCCACACCCACACTATATAT